TGCAATGAGAACAGACAATAGTGCAAATTAATCTATTCTTCTGACAGCCTGTAATGAGAATGGGATGTGGTTTAAAAAATTAAGCCATTCTTAGTACAATCTCAAGATTGCAATCTCATGGTCTCTCTCAGATGCTGTATGCTCTGGTGATACATCATTGAAAAGTGTCAGTTTAACAAAGAATGTGTCCTAGCTCTTGCTGGGATGGTAGACTGCATTTTCTTTGTTTCACCACATCCCTACCCATTAAAAACAATGAAGTAGAATCAATTGTGTTTTTTAGAACACATATACACACAAACGAGAAAAAAAATTCTGGCAATTTTATCTTAGTCAAAACTTACAAACAAAATATTGTACTTTATTGCTCTCTTTTTTACTTTTATAAAACATAAGACAGGAAGTGATAGGCTACTTGAGGAATTCAGAATCTAGTACCAGTTTATCCATAAACAATGTAAAGCTAATTAAGTTCCTCATGGATTACTGCATAGTCATCCTCTCCACAATGACTATGTCATGTTATGAACTGGGGCTGATGACAGATAAGGTCTGTTATCTGTCTTATCTGACAGATAAGATCTGCAGTAACTCAATGCAATGTTTGGGGTCTAAAGAGAATAGAAAGTATATAATAATATTTTTTGATATCTGGTTCTCTAGGCTCAGACTAAAAAGAATCAGTAAGAGCCTTAGATCTGTAGGTAATGGTTTTGGTAACAACAACAACTAACTTTTGTTGAGAGTCAGCAATGTGACAGATGCTCTATGTAGACTTTCTTATATTTAATTCTAACTGTAACCCACGAATCAGGTTCTATCAGGATAAGATGCATGCTCAATATCATCTGCTACTAACAAGTATGGTCAAGACTTAAATTCATGGCTTCTTGTCCCTAAAGCCCATGCTTGTCACCGTTACAGTGTGCCCTCCCTGCTTCACCTTACATTTAGAGAAATTGTACCCACAGAGGCAAATTGGCTTACTTGGGATCTCCCAGAGAGTTAAAAGCAAAGCTAGACTGAAAATTAGGCCTCCAGATATCCTAGTTAAGGGCATTACTTACTATTCATACTGCTTCAATTTATTGAAGCCCCCTCCCAAAGTGTTTTGAACAAAAAATAACATTATGGGACTCAATATGTCACATGCTAGTGCTAAGTCACTTCAGTCTCGTCCAACTCTGCAACCCTATGGATTGTGGCCTACGAGGCTGCACTGTCCATGGGATTCTCCAGGCAAAAACACTGGAGTGGGTTGCCATTTCCTTCTCCAACAATATGTCACAAGATATCAATAACTTAAGTGTGTTTTAATTTCACATCAAACAAAACCTAGTATTCATTCTACATTTCTTGATAGCTAAGCATTATGCTCTGTCCTAAAAACATAATAATGAGCAACATATTAATTGGCATTAATCCATCATCTTCATTCATTTGTATAATAAACGTGTAGTGAGTTCTATATACCATGATCTATATTTTTTCCAATGAAATCATATTCTGAACTATCATATTTATTGATTTATCATTACCTATCTATTGAATGACTGCTAATTGCCAATCATTGTGCTAGGCACAGGAGACAGTGGTGAAAAGACACAGTCCTGACCTCAAGGAGCTCGTGATCTATTTGAGGAGACAAGCAAGTAACTAGGCAATTAAGTTAAGTGCATGCTATTATAGTATAGGGTGCGATGGGAGTCCATAGGAAGGGCCCCCAGAGAGAGTTTATCTAAGCTAAGACCTAAAGGACAGTAGATGTAACGCAGGGGAAAAGGATAGGGAAAAAGAAATCACAGGCAAAAATCACATTTCAGAACTTATGGTTGAACCATTAAATCAGGGAAAATTACAGTAATTCATTATTATTCATCCATTTAGTACTTTTTTGAAAAGCATAACACTTCATTTTTTTCTGCCTGTCATCACTCACATAGAATGTGCAATACATTTTGAATAAATGAATGAAGGTTAACACATGTTGTATTGAATGCTTCTTCTGTTACTAGCCTCTTTTTGAGACACAACATTCACAATCTCCTTTCATTTCTTTTCTTTTCTTGGTAACAAAGAACTTGAATCCACAAATCAAAACTGTGGTTATGCAAACACCTGAGGTTGACTCACAAATTTGTGTTTAATTTGTCTCATTCAGGATAATGGGAACTGCTCTAGAATTGTGCTGTACAGTATGGAAACCACGAGACATACATGGCTATTTAAATTTAAAATAATAGAAACCAAGTAAAATTAAAAAGATTCTCAGTCACACTAGCCACATTTTAAGCTCTGAATAGACATATGCTACTATATTGAGCAGAACAGAAGGACATTTTCATCATTACAGAAAGTTCTATTGGACAGTCCTACTCTAGAATCTAAATTATAAAATTTGCCAAACTATTGATAACTATATCAGGGTAGTACTGAAGAAATAAAAGGCACTCAATAAAAAGTTATTGATATTTTCAAATGTATCCTTATTCTCTTTTAATAGCAAAGTTTCAGTTGTGAAAGTGGAAGCCAATGTTTATATAAGTCATTTCACATATTTTATGTAGCAATCAAGGTTAAATAATTTGATTAATGGGCTGACAGTTCTCTTTCCTGAATCTGGAATACCAGGAAAGTTCCCGGCTGCTAGTGTAGCATGGCCACTTAGGCAAGACTGACAAAGCAAAGCAATCCCAAAGGTGACAAATTTCAATTCCATGGCCCTCACGTTGCATTGCCCACTTTCTGGCAGAGGTGCTAATGAGTAGTATCACTGCCAACAATGCATAAAACAAAAGGGAGAAGGAGATGCCAAGGCCTTGTAGAGTCTACTTTGAATAATGAAGGATTAAATATCATTCATCTTAAACTGATTTTTCAGACACAGTGCCAAGAAGCAAACAAGTAACTTTATATACTTGGTGTCAGAGTCTAAAAGAGTTTCAGAGGAGATGTTTGGCACCTGCATCTGAGTTTAACTCATTTTATGAATAGTCCCTCCCCACTCATTAGGAGATGTATAATTAGTTTAAATGTGTTCACTGCACTGGTTTATGTGCTTATAGCTGCCCCAGCTCAACAATATCCAAATGATCATAAGGTGAAAAAGCAGGGTTAGAAGACCAATGATCATTAAACATCAGTTTATTTGTTTGCTTATTTATTTACATCATTGCAAAATGAATGAAATATAGTCAAGAGTAGCCACTGGGAGGAACCTATAAAGCTTAGTTTTCTGTGACACAAAAGACATATTTTATGTCATATTTTTAAATTTGCTAAATATGTTATAAGCAGTCTTTTGTTTCTTTGTTTTCTTAGTATCAGCAACTGTAAGTCTACTTGATAGTGGCCAGAAATGGATGGAAAATGTAATAAATATATTACAAAGGGCACTGAAGACAAAAGCAGGAATGAAATTCCTGACTCTTCCCTCAGCCTGGAACCACTGTACAGTTAGATGGCTATTGGAGAAAATATTGAAGTTCCAGGTGGGCAAAGGGAATGAACTTAAGATTTCAAACACAAATAACTAATCAATAAATATTGAACCTAACTATTTTATATTGGACATGAGCTCAATGATATGAAGAATATATAAGAAATGCTCAAAATACTTTAACAATTGTTTCCTCTGAATAATAAGATTATAATCTCTCTATTTTAATTTTCTAAACTTGTATGAAAAACAAGTATTAATTTTACATGTTGGGAAATTATGTAGTAATTCTGAATGATCCATAAAGCAAAATGTTAAGTGACATTGCATATAATTGCATTACATCTGCTGGATGTAGATCTCTACACAGAATTCAATTTGAGTAAACTTTGGTAAAAGGTAGTGGTTGTGGGTCATATCTCAAAAGTCATTAAGATAGAGACAGATGCTTGTGACATCATAAGAACACAGGAAGCAGTGTCCTGGAACTTTAGTCTCCCATGGGTGCAGAGCAATTTTTCAGAGGAATAAAAGAGCTTCGTGTGTTGTTTACGAAGTACTTTCAATGTGAAGTGGCTGAAGAGAGCATGAAATCCGGGGGAAAAAAAGAGTATGTGCTAACTACTGGTTACAGTAAAATTTTTATAAATTAAAAACTACCCACATACACCCCCCCCACATACATGCAATACACATACACATATATACACACACACAAACACATGTAACAATAACACCTACCTTTCATGCATAGTTTTAAAGGATTGAAATAATTTATGTATGTATCTACTATGATACTTAATATAAAATGTGTTCAGTAAAAGTAACTCTAAGTTTAGTTTCCAAGGGAGTACAGAAATCACTGGTTGCACAACAGAAAAAATAATCAACAATCAGGAATCTACCAAGAAGTCACAAGAATCACAAAACAGTGATGGGGACTTTGTGATGAGCAATATTCAGAAATCTAAGCAAGCAGGCAACACTAGGGAGTTCAATCAATGAGCAGTATCAGCTAAAATGATGGACTGGAGTATCTGAGTTTAGCAAATAATAACTACTTTATACATATTAAAAATTAAAATGCCAACGTTCTTGTAAACAATAACCAGATTTAAGTTTTTAAAAATAACCTATTTTTTCCAAATGATACAAGTGCTCTCAGGGGTGCAAAGTTCAGTGGTACTTCGTCTTACTATGTGTAATATAAATGCATTAGCCTGGTCCGATTTACCTTTCAGTCTTTACTTCTAAAACATCATGTACATGCCCAATACTACTTGCTGCTAATGCTCCTTTGTTTCTTTCCTTTGTTTCCTATATAAACCCCTTCTGCTCACCATTTGTTGAATGAACAACCAAAAGAATGAACAACTACAAACTTACAGTAGCAATTTATCCATTATGTTGCTTAAGCATTAAAAAAAATATCATAGAACCCTCTTTGAATCTCTGCTGATGTTGCACAGATTGATTTTTAATGATTTCTTTGTTGTCTGTTCATATGTTTCTTGAAATAAATATGTGAATTTCAAAACTGACGTGACCATTTGGTTTGCAGCGGCTGCGGCAGCAGACATGGCTTACCACCACATCAGACCTCCCATCGGCTATTCCATCCCAAAGCCCATAGCATCTCTGCTGATGCGAGGGTGGAATGCGTGTCCCGAAGTGAGTAATTTTTATTTCCTCTTAGCAAATGTGTTATGGTCAAAATCTGTCACCAATAGCGTAGCTCCAAAGTCTACTTTCCGTGTGTATTTTAAGGCTGTCAAGGCAGAAAGGCTGATTTGCCTTCTGCTCTTTAGTCTCTACTTGCCTCAAGAAGTCTGAGCATCTCATATTTCTTTGCTGCTGCTCTCTAGTTCTGAAATGTTTCTCACAACTGATTAGTAAAAGAGAGACCAGGGTATGACAGATGACTCAAGTCTCATCTCAGCTGCAATTTTATTAACTACGCTTGAGCCACACTTAGTCATTTTTTCAAGAAAGAAGTTTGGCACAAGATGGATTTGTGTGGGCCTTTCACCAAGAGGCAGGCCTGCAAGAAAAAACTCCATGACCAGTGGTTGATTTTTTAATTTTATTTTATTTTTTAAATTTTCTGGCTGTGCTGGGCCTTCCTTGATACAGCAGCTTTTCTCTAGTCGCAGTATGCAGGCTTCTCGTTTTTTGGGGGTAGGATAGGTGCCCCAGTAACAGTTTGGAGAATGAGAAAGAGAAACCAGAATAGGACCAAAGGAAAATACTCTAAAGATTAAAAATAAAGATAGTAAGAGGCCAAAAATTGAGTGCTTAGTAGAAGACTCTTAACTGCTAGGCAGGGGCAGTACAAACTCTGGGCTCCGGGAATGTGGTTCTTCTAGAGGAGGATGGAGAGAAAGTGTGGTAGGAAAGGCCAAGTCTCAGACTGGCTGGCAAAGTCTGAGCTTCTCAGTCACTCAGTTAGTTGGGTCCTGGCTTGGCTGTGGTATCCATCTCAGCGGTCTAAATTTGAGCTGGCTCTGTATGTGACATGCCTAAGTCATCACTGAATTGCCCAGTATGGTCTTCAGCTGGTCACTAAGCTAAGTGGTGAGAAGAAAGGGAACAATGGGCTAGTTCTCACTCTTTCCTTAAATAATTATTTATTGAATCTCTACTGAATACAGCCTCAGGGATGGGTGAGGAGATTCACTGGAGATGTGCTCTTCATAGCATTTAAAGGCCTAAGCAGTCATATGGAGATTACTATCATATACACATTTATGGTTTTACAGTTATAAGCAAAATTGAAGGACCAGGAATAGATGAGATGAGAATGAATGCTAAAGGAGCTCCAGCAAATAGGGAACAAAGAGAGTAAAGGCAAATTCTTTGTGAGAAAAGACACACAAGAAACTGATTAATCACTGGAACACTGTATTAATAGCTACTGAGGGACTGTCCCAGACCCTCATTTGAAACAAATTCATCTTTAGATCTAAGACACTAACATCCCACTGCCTGGTCAGTGTTTGCTAGGTTATCAGCTTTACTTCTCATTCTTTCTTTTATGTCTGCCTTTGCTTCATTCCTTAAATTTGAAGCACATTATTGTCTCCTGCGCATGTCTTCTTAGCCAAGGCCCATAAAGACAGAAGAGTCCATGGGACTTCCTGGTGGTCCAGTGGTTGAGAATCTGCCTTGCAATTCAGGGATCACAGGTTTGATCCCTGGTCAGGGAACTAGGGTCCCACATGCTGTGAAGAAACTAAAGACCATGTGTGACAACTACGAAAGCCCACGTACTCTGGAACCTGCATGCCACAACTAGAAAGTCCATGCACTGCAAAGAGATCCTGCCTGACACAACGAAGATCTCACATGCCACAACTGACACTCACACAGCCAAATGAATAAACATTTAACAAAAGAAGAGGACAATGAAAACATTAGCCTATCAGAGATAGAGGGTGCTTGTTGGAAAACAGTGAGAGGGGGGAAATGTTCTGATTATTAGATGGGATCAGATTTTGGAAAGCTTTGGGAACCAGAATAGAAAATTTGGACATGAAATTTTAGACAATTATATTTTTTCTCTAAAGTAGTGAAAGATACGATGAAAGTAATTCTCTGGAAAGTTCGCCGGAGTTTAGTATGAAAGATTTGTTCACTTAGAAAATTGTACGTAGTTCCTACGGTGAGGCAGTCACTGAATTATCTCACGGTGTGCACTGGAATAGCTAAGCACTGTTTCCTAGTGTAGGCTATGTGTTACATGCTCCAGATTACCCTGAAATGTTTGTCAAAGTGAAGATTCTGGAACCCTATTCTAAATCTACTGAATCAAAATCTCTGGGATGGAGCCTGCGACTTTGCATTTTAACATGTACCGCAGGTGATTTGTTCCCAATAAAGGCAGAGAACTAGTGGGCTGAAACAGAAGCCAAAGACATTGAAGTCAGAGCCTCTGACTGGGCTGCCATCGCAGCAGCAGTCCGGTTGATTACAACACAAAGACTGCAATGGTTACCACAGGGATTCAAGAGCAGGGCTAAACAAAGGAACCAGAAGGAGCTAAAAGACTGGATTTAGGAAATGGATGAGAAGAAAGTGTCCAGGAAAACCGTCATCCCTTCCCTCTGAGTGAAAGCCAGTGACCAGAGTACTTTAGGCCCTTGGGTATCAGGGGCATTATTGGCAGTGACAGGAGAACAAAGCTAAGGGGTCTGCAGTAAGATGAAGGTGTTTTAAAAAGTGGGAAAAGGAAAAAGAAAGATAGCTACAGAGAAAAAGTGTAACCAGCTCTACACAACTGAGAGAGCTGGCAATTAGAATTGTTTAGTCACTAAGCTGTGTCCAACCCTTTTGCTATCCCATGGACTGTAGCCCACCAGGCTCCTCTGTCCATGGGATTCTCCAGGCAAGAATTCTGGAGTGGGTTTTCATTTCCTTCTCCAGGGGATCTTCCTGACGCAGAGAATGAACCCACGTCTCCTGCATTAGCAGGCAAATTCTTCACCACTGAGCCACCAGAGAAGCTCAGCAATTAGAATATAGTAAACTTAATGTGCAAGGAGTTTGCATAGGTGCTCTTCTCACCTTCAAGGTACTTGACAAAATGAAGTGGGATCAGGCGAGGCAGACAGATGGCATAGCAGTTGAGCTCAAGCAGAGAAGGGAGAGGAGTAGGAATTAAAAGCAAGAAAAATTTGAAATCCAGGTAAGATGGGAAAGAAAGAGAGAGAATACGTTTAGGGACTTTTCAGAATAAAAGTTTGTCATTTGCTAGCAATCCTGAATAAGAAAGAAAACGGGAGACAGGTGGCCTTCTAAGCAATATTTACATTGTTCTAAAAGCTTTTAAGCTTTTTAATATTGCCACATGTAGATTACAAGGATACAGAGACTTATATATGGAGATAGGGAAAAGAAGATTGTCTTTGCAACCTTTTTTACCCACTAGGAAATGTGAAATATTATATTATTCTATATCTGAAGATATGGTTTCAACATTTTCCTAGGATATCACTAATAAAATTTAGTATACCTTTAACTTTCAAATAAGTGTGGCTTTGAATAAGAAATGCTTATTCTACCATTGCTTGAAATCTAATATTTATGAAGACATTTAATCCCTGTGCACAAGAGGAATACTCACACCAAACAGTAGTGGCATGCTAAATTCAAGACCTCAGGCCTTGAAAGCTTACATGCTAATGGGTTATTTAGTTTTCAAAATCTTAAGTTAATAACAACTGGCAATAAAGCCTGTTAAGATGCCTTTTGTTCTGAAGCTATTGTGTTGATTTTGAAGTCCCATTTGTTCTAAAATGATTGAAGTCGAGATCTCCACCTAGTGGATTTATAGGATTCAACAGATTTTACATAAATGGCCTACTACCTCTAGAAATCTGTAATGTTTTTCCCTTTGAGAAATAACAGGTTTTAAAGACTTCTACTTAGGACCTAGCATAATTGTTAACAGAACAGTTGCAAATGGTTGAAACATGCCAATATGCATATCAGCTAGACTACAGTTAACAAAGCTCAATTTTTATTTTCATACCATAATTAGGAAAACAGATCAGGCACAAATATGAATATATAATCATCTGTGTAGAAAGCAATATTGTAATACCACTAATTGAGATGTGTATAGTAATTTCCATAAAATAATCATCAAGTGTAATTCTGCTCAAGCATTTTTTCCTATTTAATCTTTCATTTGCTTAAGGCCTTTTTTTTTTTTTAAGGTTTGCTTTCTTTTCCAGGATGAGGCCCAATGCTTCTTTCCCATTTTCCCATTCCTTAGAGACGCAAACTCAGTTAATTGTGTCAAACATATCTTATGGCTCTGCCTTTTATTTTTGTGTTATATTCAACTATGTACTTTTATTTTATTGATAACAAAGAGTCACTGAAGATTCTCCCTTCAAAATAATGCATTTGAAATGCATGCAAAGGCTAGGGGGTGTTTGTGTGTCTTTTTTAAGAAAGCTGAAGTAGAAAAGGATTATTATTTGAGTTATTTTGTTCACTTTGTTCTGCCTCTAAAGGTGATGAATTAACATATTCAGCAGCTTGGTGGATACAGTGTAGGTTTAGGAGCAGAGTTTTCAGCTTCATTTATTCTTCGAGAAATTAGAGGCACCTCATTTTCTGCCTCAAAACTAATGTCTTTTAACTCTGGTAATGTCTCCCCTGTCATTGCACCTTCTTTATGTGCACTGTTATCTTTATCTGGTTGAATATTTTGAACTTCTTTCAAATAATGCGTATTACTGTTAATTTTAAGATCTATTTCACTACAAGGTAGTCTATTTTGGGTTTCATGGGAACTCATCATTCTTAAGTCTTTAGTTGCCTCAACAGAATTTGAATCAAATAATACATGTTTTTCACTTTTTCCATTTCCCCAAGTTTGTTGCTTTTCTTCTCTGGTGCCATTTAAGGTCATCTGTGTGGTCCCAATTAACATACTAGAATTTGCCTTGCTTTCATCGAGCCTTTTTTTCTCATCTTTCCCTACTATTTTTATCTCCAGTGCTTCAGCTCCGTCATCTCTGGGCAATGCATTTATGCTGTCAATTCCTTTTTCACTACTATTGGTTAGAGGCCAGATGGCTTGAGTACTCAGAGAGGTACTGATATCCTTGGGAAGCGCTATTCTATTTTGGTATGGAATAAAATTTGTCTTCATAAATGTT